CATATACACAATGCATTAACTGGAAATACTTCCTCAGCTTGAATTTCCTCAAGAGGTGAAACTGCAAAACTTTACCCAGATGTACACAATATGGTGTTCTTAAGTTTAAACATCATGTCTAGCCAGCGATATCAAAGCAGTAAGACATAACATATTTAGATAGTTTGCAGTGAATTTTTATATGATCAGTTTTATATGATCAATTATTTTCTTTGTATTTTCCAACAATAGAAAAGAAAGAAAAGAAGGAAAACTAAGGGATTTTTATGGCCTGAATACAGTTGTCCAACAGACAGTTCCTGACACTTTTCACGAGGAAAGTAAGATTTAATGATCTCACAGTGGAGAAATTCACCTGTCACATCAGCTCAATAGTCAAAAGAAGGTGCCAAAAGGAGAAAAATGTGCAGGGGTATATACAGTGCATCCTCATATATACAGTGGATCGAAAAAAAAAAGGCATGAGGCAGAGAGTTATGTACATTTAAGGTGACTTATACACAAGTAAGCGATGCGAGAAGCCAGCTGTTCCCATATGACTGTATTCAAGCATATGATGAAGTTAAGTGACTGGAAATAATGTGGAAATAAAATGCTAAAGCTGAAGAAGTAAAAACAAAAGCAAAGCTGGTCCACAGACAGAAACAGGTTAAAGACCCTTGTCTTATGAGCCTTGTCCAAATTGCCACTTTGGTTTGTTTTGTTTGGGGTTGTGTTGTTTAGTTTGGTATGGGTGGCTTTCTTTTACAGAAGTGCAGCAAATGCGGCCATGTTGTTAACAGCAAGGCAGCACAGAAAAAGTTCATGTGACAAAATGTCTATGAGACACATGCAAACATAGCAATCGAGGATATGGAAACATGGCTAGGTTGGTTCACTGGCAAGAAATGTTGACAGTGAATAAAAAGACTAGAGAGAATAGAAAGGGAGTTAGAGTCAATGGAGATGACCAAGACGAGTCTTATAGAAATAACGTGACAATCAAAGAAAGTGTAGAGGGAAATCTAAGGAGCCGTGGTGCATAATTGGATGAAGGAAAAGAAGATTATTGCTCTCCAAAATGTAATGGTAAGTTAATGTGTACATCCAGTGTTGGACCTCTGCAAAGTTTCGTTTAAATTTCCTCTTACACTACAAATCCCAGCAATGTGTGCACCTCTGTGTTGGACTACATTACTTATTATGGGGCTTCCAACTTCATTCAGTCCTAAGCTCTGTAGTCTGCGTGGTTGCTGTGTGGGTGTGTTTTTTTTTTTCAATATAATGTGTCTGATTCTAGTTCTGGAGTTGTTCTTGTTAGGCAAGCAGTGACCCCATAGTCAGTTAGTCAATTGGAGACAGGCTGCTTACTGATGTGATGTTTTCAGGTTAACTTGCTGCACTTGGAACCACAAGGAAGCAGTCATTAAATAAAGTAGCGATTACATTGGGGGGACCAAAAATGTCCCTTTTCCTGTAGTACCAACTCAGAGCAATTCACTTTCTCAGCTTTTTCATAAGTAACTGTTACATAGATCTGTTATTATCTTTAGTGCCTGTTCACCTCTCCAACTGTCCAAAGTTGCACTGTAAATGCACCGTCAGAAGATTGGTTAGGGGGTGGTGTCCCAATATTATATTGGAATGCAGAGCTGTATTTCTATTGAAGATCCCTCCCCCACTCATTTTCCATTACAATGCCTAATTGTAATGGAAAATGAAGCAATCTGCAGCGAACTGACTCGAATTGTCCCAACCTGAATGGATAAGTTATCAAAGCACAAGTATCTTGTACTAAACTGAAGCTACAAGAGTTAATGCCAATGGAAAACAGGGGCTGATGGGCGGGGTTTCAGGGGTCATCCTGTTAAGCCACGCCTGACGTCTTACCAGCGTTAAGGAGAATACAGGTGCTGGTCATAAAATTAGAATATCATGAAAAAGTAGATTGATTTCAGTAATTCCATTTAAAAAGTGAAACTTGTATATTATATTCATACATTACATACAAACTCATATATTTCAGATGTTTATTTTGTTTAATTTTGATGATTACAAATGACAACAAATGAAAATCTCAAATTCATCATATCAGAAAATTAGAATATTGTGAAAAGGTTCAAAATTGATGGCCCCTGGTGCCACACTCTAATCAGCTAATTAACTCAAACCACCTGCAAAAGCCTTTAAATGGTCTTTCAGTCTAGTTCTATAGGCTACACAATCATGGGGAAGACTGCTGACTTGACAGTTGTCCAAAAGACGACCATCGACACCTTGCACAAGGAGGGCAAGACACAAAAGGTCATCGCTGAAGAGGCTGGCTGTTCACAGAGCTCAGTGTCCAAGCACATTAATAGAGAGGCGAAGGGAAGGAAAAGATGTGGTCGAAAAAAGTGTACAAGCAAGAGAGATAACCGCACCCTGGAGAGGATTGTGAAACAAAACCCATTCAAAAATGTGGGGGAGATTCACAAAGAGTGGACTGCAGCTGGAGTGAGTGCTTCAAGAACCACCACACACAGACGTATGAAAGACATGGGTTTCTGCTGTCGCATTCCTTGTGTCAAGCCACTCTTGAACCACAGACAGCGTCAGAAGCGTCTTGCCTGGGCTAAAGAGAAACAGGACTGGACTGCTGGTGAGTGGTCCAAAGTCATGTTCTCTGATGAAAGTAAATTTTGCATTTCCTTTGGAAATCAAGGTCCCAGAGTCTGGAGGAAAAGAAGAGAGGCACTTCATCCACGTTGCTTGAAGTCCAGTGTAAGGTTTCCACAGTCAGTGATGGTTTGGGGTGCCATGTCATCTGCTGGTGTTGGTCCATTGTGTTTTCTGAGGTCCAGGGTCAACGCAGCCACATACCAGGAAGTTTTAGAGCACTTCATGCTTCCTGCAGCTGACCAACTTTTTGGAGATGCAGATTTCATTTTCCAACAGGACTTGGCACCTGCACACAGTGCCAAAGCTACCAGTACCTGGTTGAAGGACCATGGTATCCCTGTTCTTAATTGGCCAGCAAACTCTCCTGACCTTAACCCCATAGAAAATCTATGGGGTATTGTGAAGAAGAAGATGCAATACACCAGACCCAACAATTCAGAAGAGCTAAAAGCCACTATTAGAGCAACCTGGGCTATCATAACACCTGAGCAGTGCCACAGACTGATCGACTCCATGCCACGCCGCATTGCTGCAGTAATACAGGCCAAAGGAGGCCCAACTAAATACTGAGTGCTGTACATGCTCATACTTTTCATGTTCATACTTTTCAGTTGGCCAACATTTCTATAAATCCTTTGTTTTTATTGGTCTTCAGTAATATTCTAATTTTCTGATATGATGAATTTGAGATTTTCATTTGTTGTCATTTGTAATCATCAAAATTAAACAAAATAAACATCTGAAATATATGAGTTTGTATGTAATGTATGAATATAATATACAAGTTTCACTTTTTAAATGGAATTACTGAAATCAATCTACTTTTTCATGATATTCTAATTTTATGACCAGCACCTGTAGTTCTGAACTTGTGTTTTTCATTTGCAATCCAGGTGCCAATGTCTACTAGAAGTATAGTCTGTTGGACGATTACTAGGGGCCGAGAGCCAAATTTCAACAGGCAGTGAAGATTTGAGTTACCATGCCATCTGCTGGTGTTAGTCCAGTCGACACAGACATCAGCCAGGAAACTTTACAGCAGGTTACATGGACTCACCTTTCAGTGGGCTGGAATTTGTATTGAAATTCCTTTACTGGCCTTATTCATCATTTAAACCTTTTCTTTGATAAACTGGATCTTAGTTTTTTATTATCTGTAAGTCATAACCTGTAACAATACATTTTTAAAAAATTTCATAGAGATGCATCTGTTAAGATTCTTGTGTACGATTCCTTATATCTGTCTGGTGTAACTTGTAAAAACAGTAAAATAAAGAACTGTGAATAGATACATCAGTACAATATCAGGAAAAAAGGAGAATGCAGTAGATGGATCAGCAGTATTATTGATTGTTCTGTTCTGTGACATTCTGGCATCAAGGGGAGGAAAGACAAGCATATTTTTTTTTTATTATCAGGAAAATATCAGACAACAAACCTTCCAAACCTTCTTTTAAAACTGATTAGCATACTCTTTAGAATGTATTAATAAGATAGGAAAATAATTTAGCTGGTTGACTGTACGGTCCACAGACTGCAGTTGGTTTATTACAGCAGATACTCTGAAGTCATAAAAATGTACTCAGTCGTTTTTTTCTTTCTAAGGCAGCCTTCAGTTTGCGTTGTTTTTACATGTACAAGACTGATTTGTATGATCCTTTTTCTATGATGAAGAATCGTCCATTTTCCTCAAAACTGTGATTAGTACTTCCTTTTGCTATACATACAGTACATACAATTTTATTTCATATATAAAATAACAAAAAGGATCCATAAATTCAAAACATTGAGATAAAATACTGATCCCCCATAGTTGTGCTTTACATGCGACTGAAACAATCTTCAATCTCACATTTCCACCAAGATCTCTGTACTGATCATTGTCTGTGCACGTTACAGTAAGCATTGCAGTATAAAATGGCTTTTACTATATGCTTCTTAATAGCAAAGGACTTCAATAACATTACTGAGATGGGGCATCTCTTTACTTCATAAAAGAATGTGATAATTCAAGTGTTGTATGATAGAAATGTGCCAAAGTGTCCCAGCATAGCGAGAAAGTCACTATAAGAACAATGAAATACAGCAAACAAGCTTTGTAGGCCTCTGCTGGTAATTCACATCAACGTCCTCAAGGCTGAGTTAACCAAAAGTGCAGTTCATCGAAGTAAGCGTTCTTTTTTCACAGAAACCAGTTGTTAGGACACTGGTATCGAGCTGCTTAAAAAAGAGGTTTACTTCACCACATTAAAATTTTGCTTTTGTTGACATGCTAAACTGCAACATGTCCTCTAGTTCTCATTCAAAAATAGGGTTTTTCATGTTTACATACTTCTAATTTAACTATTGTCTTTTCTCTGTTCCTGCTCTTAATGATTTGTCCTTCTGCCAAATTCTATGACAAAACAGTTAATTCTACTTGTTTCAAAAACATCATTTGAAAACATTGGCCATAGCACAAACACATAAAACACTTCTACATTTTCTTTTTAGGAAACGGGGAAACACTTCAGCATCAGAAATTGTAACCCATGTAAGTCCTCCTCTGTTCTACCATAGACGTCTTCCAGTGTAGTTAATGGGTGCTGTAGGCATCTACAACAGATAAAGGAACATTCAGGAATAGCAGATACATATTTGCCGATCTTTTGATATCAATCACTTGTGTCTGTCAACACTTACCGTCCCACCGTTCATGACCAAAGCCATCTCAGTTGGTTGGTAAACATGGCCCCTGAAGGCGATGCCTGGGCGCATGCTGCCATGGCTGCTGTGGTATGTTCCACTTCGGACAGCTTTAAAAAAATTAAGACAAAACATAGAAAAATTTTACAAGTGCAACAGAATGCAAATCATTTTTCTTAGTCCCCTAAAATACAACCCAGCTGGGGACCCACATGTACTACTGTGCTTGAATAAACTTGATTTGAACATGCGGGTAAATGGCGTTGACAAGCCAAGGAGGTAATCATCCTCTTAACTCAGCTCAGTTTTGGAAGTCACTGGACACTGGCTCTTAAGGACCTTAATTAAATTAAAACTTGATGCATTTTTCTCTTCTCAATCAACCTCACATGAGGAACTTGACCTACATGACCAACTCCCTAAGGGAGGGAGTTGCTTTAGGGAAACACTATGGGGATGAACAATATTCCCATTCCTGTTTCTTACTAAACATAACAGCAAGTTTGATTATCTTTCCAGGAAAGTATTTTAAGAAAGTTTTAATGAAGTTTTAGGGTGAAAAAACTTTAATTTTGGCAATTAGTGACACAAAAAAAAGGTTAAAATTGCAGAGCTTATGTCGTATCTTCTCTGACTGACCCAGTTTACTGTTACCATTTTTAAAATAGAAAGTATTTATGGATCAGTGCTTCAATGGTTCTTTTGTGTTTTTGCCGCTGACTTTTTGAACATCCCGTCGGCCTCACCCTGGTTCTGCTGGAGGTTTCTTCCTGTTAAATGGGAGTTTTTTTCTCTCCATTGCAGCTGCACGGATGCTCAGTGTGACCGATAACTGCAGATTTAATGAACAACCGCATACTTATCCAGGAGGATTGAATCCTGCAATCAATTACTCGATGCAGTAGGCTGGGTTTTCCCTAGATAAAATACTTAAATCTGTCTTTCAAAATTAATTGAAATTCAATGTACCGGTAATCTCAAGTCACTTTCTAGAGACTATTTAGTTATCTAATTCTCTTTAAAAAATAGAAGATGGCATGATACCTTATAAAGAAATTATTTCATTTAATAGAATTTATTTTCAATGAACTGCCTGTGGACTACATGATGGTTCCTTGCAGAAAGAAGGTTGTCTGTTTGATTCGAGGCCCAGGGCCTGTCTGCATGGAGTTGGCATGTTCTCCCCATGCATGCTTGGGTTCTACTCTCATTCAAGACATGATTTAAATACTTTTAAGAAATAATGGTTAAAGACTCAAAGCTTGATTTATTCTGCTGTAGGATTGGTCCTAATCCTGAATTTATAATGTCAATATATTTGTCAAGTTATTTTATTTTATTAAGAGAAAACATACATTTGATAAAAAGGTTGTATATTTGTTTGTTTGTATGTATGTTTGTTTGTATTAGAGGTTGTTGAGATTAAAATTCAGTTTTTCAAGAGAGACCTGGACGCAAACACATACCGCAGACATCAAAAAACGCTCAAGATACAATCTTGTTTATAAAATAAAAAAATTAAATGAAATAATGTAAAACATTAATTGTTTATAAATTGGCTCAAAAACAGAGATTAGTCCTTCAGCTTCTTCTGCAGTTGATTCAAAGGGTATGATTCCGAGGGGGGCTGCAAACTAGAAGGCTCTTTTACCATGATCAGTGCAACCTTACTTACAATTAGTGAAATTGACTAATTTTGATACAGAGAGTAACTGCTTGAATAATTTCTCTTAAAAATGGACAGGACTTCAGAGAGAAATAAATCAGATTGAGATTGCTTTGTAAAGAAAATAATACCAGTGACAGAGTCTGTGGATGGATATAGTAATCCATCCAACATGGGTATACAGAAGTCAGTGGTGAGTGAAGGCCCCCAGAACTTCAAGACCTCACAAAATCCAACATATACAACCAGTGGGAATATGCACGCATATACATTTTACCACCATTGTCCAAACTGGGCAGAAATGGTACAAACAATCCACCTCCTCGCTTCAAAAGACAAACAAGGTTGAATAAAAAAAATAATAAATCCCAACTTCTATAACAATAATAAAACCTATATATTTATAGAAATGAGAAAGCTTTAATCTGAATAAAAATGATGGAATCAGGCAAAGAAAGACTTATTGTTCCTGATGACAACTTTACTCCTTTACTAACACTAAATCCCAGTTAAGCACTACATGACCAAAACATACAAAATATAACACATGTAAGAAGTAATTTTTATTGGATATCATCAAAACTGTAAAATCACCCCCCCACACACACACAAAAAAAACCCTGATAGGTTGTGAAAGTCAGTAGAAAAATCTTAACTAACAAAGGTATTTTTTTGCAAAATGCCTAATGTTTCTCTTAGTATTTCTATGTGTAGGAAAAATAAAACAAAACAAAATGAAAGAAATGAAAAACCATGCAACATGGATTTTCACATTTTTTAGTTTAGTAATGAAATATTGACCCCTTGCTCCAGGAAGACCACACAGACCAACAGTATATAATTTAACCACAATCCTTTTTCAAAGGTAAGTGAGCCACTTAAGGTCCTTGGCTCATGTTGAAAGCCATCTTATTTTATTAGCATCTGGTCTTGCTAAAAACGTTTTTTTTTTTTGCACCTTTGACCTTGCATGTGAAATGTTAATTTTATTATAACAAAACTAACAACAGGAGAGACTCACCTTAGCATTATTTTTTCAGATATCCCTATAAAGTACCTACAGCTTTTTCCAAGCAAAAATGACTACCAACACCATAATAGCAAGAAATATAGTTATTTAATTAATTTGACAAATTGAAATTATAATAATATAATTATAGCTGTATTAATGTAAGCATCCAGCTCTCATCTATGACCTATAAGTTTTTCTGTTTGTCATTTAAGACAACAGCTTCACTGGACATTTTTCCTTTATATTTGCTTTTTTAAAAGACATGTTACATTTAAATTTAACAAATAAAAGCAGAATGCATCTTAGTATGACTGCCTGTTGGATGGCATGCAGGGCTCATGACCACTATTTCAGACTCTGCTTCTGACTCACTGAGAAGCATTTCAGAACTGTGCATAAGAACAGCTTCATCAGAAATGCTACGGCATTTAAACGCTATACAAGTGAAAAGAGATAACAGGAGGAAACAACGTTAACCGCTGAATCTGTTTTGAGGTAGGTGACGTGGAGCCTTGCTAAAGTCTTGTTATTTTTCTGTGATATTAATTCCCTGTGTGCCTGAAACGACTGCTCACTGTTATTTGACAAAGCCTACAGCTACAGCGGTTACCAGGGCAACACAGATATTTTGTGTAATTATTGTAACAAAAGGAAGTGTTTTCAGCGGCGTTGAGCTGTTGAGTCAGGGATCTGTTTTCACAAAGTTAAAACATTCATGATTAGAAAAAATTTTTTTTTACATACCTTTATTGTTTTGTTTGTTTTGCTTTAAGGTTAATCAAAAATGTGGGAGGAAGTACAAAAAGGTAATGGTGATAGGTTTGACAATAAGTTTTTCTGTTTTGCAAGTCAGATTGAATTATTAAAAAATTACAAAGTGCATTCATTAATTACAAAAACAGTTATATATGTTAAATCTCTCCAAAATCATCAAAAAAATAAATGGGTCAAAGCGTGTAAAGTAAATCCTAAATACTAAAACAACCATAAATCTTCTGACATCAAGTTTTGGCTAGATTTTTTTGTTGTTGCTAATTAACAAAAACATTTTCTTACTCTAAAATGTGACATGGCCATTGTATGCTTGATTGTACCTTCTTACTGTGACTAATCAATATTAACTATACAGTATACACTGTATACCACCACCTTAAATTTTTTTCAATGCTTACCTTTATTTTTTAATTATAACAGATCAACTAATCTGGTAAGCTGCATTCAGAAAACTGCAGTGAGCAGTAGAAGTGGAATGACTCATATTTTTACCTCCATATTGCTGGTAGATATTCATACATTTCATGAGATGTAATCGGACTTTTGGTTTAATACAGCATGTACTTATCCTTGCACCCCTTGCCCCCATCAGAGCGACCCTGCAAGAATAAGCAGTTACCGCAATAGATAGATGGATTTAAAATGTCTTTTCAAATACAGCATAGGGAGTCTAGCTTGAACTGTCAAGTCATGCAACTTCTGCAAAATTTGAATGATCATACAAATCCTTTTTACCCTGAAAATTAATATTTTATCCACAAAAAATGTCTTTTGAATATCATTGGTCTTTTTTTAATCAAAAATAATTTATGGTTTTAATATTCTCTCAATAACACTAATTGAATAGACTCTGGATTGGAAATTTGACAGAAATTAAAATTTGTTATTCAACTGGGTGCTACCAGGCTGTGCGCAAGCCAGTCATTGGTTCATTCATTTACGTAGATAGGTGGAAACAAATATGAAATTACGTCCTTCAGAACTAGGAGTGTTAGCCACTGAAGCAGTTACTGTTGGAAAATATATAGTTTCACATATAAAAAGAAGCACGTAAAGCAAGGAGCACATACAAGACTTACTTGCGCTGTGCTCTTCCATTGAAAAGGCTTGGTTTTCTTGAAAAGACTGGTGAGAATGCGTAGGGTGTTCTTCTCCGTAATGAGGAGCAGGCGATGCACGACTAGTGTCAAAAAAATCTTGTGTGTCAGATTGTGTTGGGCTCTGGAGACACAGGTGGGCCTCTGGAATAGCGTGGAACAGCAGCAGGATCCAGCCCTGAATCACCAAGGCGACAGCCAATGCAGGCTCATCCAATACTTTTGAATCTTTGTTTCCTCCTCTTTCCCTGCTCCCTTTTCCTCTCAGCACCTGGCTGCCATAAAGATAAAACCCCAGCCAGGCCACCCAAAGCAATGCGGAAGCCAGACTGGACAGAAAGACCCAGACGGCATTACATTTCCATCTTCGCTTTTCGTGTTCTCCTTCTCTGTCTTCTTCTCTGCTGTCTCCTCCATCTTCTCCAAATTCTCCTCCACACAGCACCACTCCGAGAGAGAGGCCCATGGCAATGAGGAGCAGGCCTAGAGTGTAACTACACATCAGAGCAAAGTCTAAAGGAGGGTACTCACATGCTGGGTGACCCTCTCTGACCACAGTCAACAGAACCCATTCAGCAGAGATAATCCCCTGAACTAAAGCCAATGCCAGTCCAAGCGCTGCCAGTGTGCTCCCAGATGGACTTGATTTTCCAGCCACCAGCCTCCTGAGCCTCACTCCTTGCACGAGTAAACAGGAGAAGCAGAGAGCAAAGAGGGGTCCCCAGAAGGCCCTGCGAACCACACAGAGGACCTGGGTCTTCCCCACCAGGAAAGCCAAAGAGATAGTGAAGATTCCTAGAAGAGTCCCCAAGAGCAGGAGCAGAGGACCAAGACCAGACCTTCGGGCTGGGTCAGAAACCACACGCATCTTGACGATCATTAGCACTGCAAGAACCAAAGAAGCGAGGCCACCACAGCAGGCCACTGCCTCCAGTACGACACCCCAGACTGCCTCCAGGTCGCAGAGCACTCTGTAGGTGGGTTCTATGCCCACGCTGCATCCCCGGGGAGGAGGAGGAGTAGGCTGGGATGAGCCGCAACTGATCAAAGTCAGGAGGAAGATGGCAATAGGGTTGACAGCCATCTTGGTGACAAACAGGAAAGACAGGCAAAGAGAGGCACAGGTACAGTTAGGTATGCAAAAAGGCGTCTAATCCATACAGGTCTTTATGGCATGATGTTGATGAACATAAGTACATCAGTTGTTCATGGATCCTCATGATATGACAAAATGGTAAAAACAGCTAATTATGTACTGAGTCAATAAGCCTGTTGTGTGATGTTTTTCATCTATGAGAGACATACTTTCTCTTAGACACACAAACACACACTGCATAGAATAGAACTGCTTTTAGCACTGAGCAATAGTTTCCATGGAAATGGGAAACAGCGTGGGCAGGCTACGTTGCCACTGCTTTTCAGGGGTTGAGTTCAGTACCCAAAAGCACAGAACAACAAAACATTCTCCCCCCACACATTCATACACGTCCCGACATGCCTAATGTAAACACATGAATGCATACAGAACAATTGCAACCCCCCCACACACGCTATATGGTGTCTGAAAGCTTTAAAGGTGGATGTTTGTATAAAATGAAGGCAACAAAATTTTATAGAAAAACAGTAAAACTCACCTCAGATGAATTCCTGACTTGATTTCTTGGTTACTTATAATGTAGATGTTTCAACATCTCCCATGTAACATTTCTGGACATGACTTAAATCATATTTTCAGAATTTTTCCTTAACGAAGTCCTCAAGGCAGCAAGAACAAAGCAGTTTCCATGTTCTCGCTGTCTTTCCTCTCAACTCTGATTGCTCAAAAGTATGAGGCAGCACCTTATGAAAGACCACCAATGGCTTGCTAATGTAGTGCCTTGTCCAGCTGCTCTGAGAAAAAGAAGCCAGGATTATGATGCATGCCTCGAGACTTCACACACCCACACGGTCAAATATATCAGCCTCTTTCGCTCCTTTCTCTCTAACTCCCTCTGTCCTCATCTTTCCGTTTGTGCAGTCTGCATGTCTGAGTTGCTCTCTCTCTCTCAGCTTCACGCTGAATCTGCGGAGGTGTCAACAGAGAGAGATGCAGTCCCAGCTTACTTCTACTCGCCCACACTTGGGCAGCATGATTAGCCACTGCACCTGTCTAACCAGGAAGAAGAGAGGAAATAAGATCAGTATATGAACGTGGCAGTTCTAAGCCTGTCCAGCATTAATCACTTTGTGTGCATATTCTGGTGTTATTTCACGCCATCACACTCCCACATCTTCGCCTTGCCTTATCCATCTAAACTACGGGGATATCGGCTGTCAAATGATGAACTGATTACAAAAAGCTGTGTTCTGACCTACAGTTTTGATAAGGAAACAAAGATGGGATGTATGCTGCAGAAAACAGGTGTTTTTATTGAGGACAAGCAGCTCAGATCAGTCACTCTAAACACAGGTGACTATCTTAGTAGTGTAGCATAACACCTTAGAAAACATGATTCAGTCAAGTTTATTTAGAGAGGCCTAATCTCCAACCCCTACGTATTGGTTAAAGAAGGATAGAGCACAAGGAAGGTCAGATAAGGTTCATTCATCAAAAAAATTGGCTTGTGATACTTTTGTGACCATCTCGAAGGTAGGGAAGTAAGTCTCTCCCTCCAGTAAAGTGAAATTAGTATGCCTAGCAAGACAATTTATCCCACACTTAGAGACCAAAAAACTTGCAAAAAGGTATAGGTATATGCTCTTTTAAGGTGTAAAAAGTAACTAAAATCGAAAAGTTAAAATACCAGAGCACTGTGCTCACTCTGCTCTTCATTTGTACAGCGGCTATGTGCCTTTTTAAAGGCGGTTGCTTATCCAAACAGGAATTCACATAGACACAGGGCAGCAAGTCATTTAATTTATTTATACAGTTAAAACAATCTTATTCTTCAAAATATTTCAAAGGAAAACCAGCTGATTGCCAGCACTCATTGACTCTCTGCAATCCCTTACACCAAGCATGCATGCGGTGACTGTGGAGAGGAAAACTCCCTCTTAACAGGAAGAAACCTCCAGGAGAACCTGGCTCAGTGTGAGCGACCATCTGCTGAGGTCAACTGAGGTTTGAGGAGAAAGAAGCAACTGGGGCCCCGGCAGTAGGGATCCATGCTGTGAATCAGCATTCGCTTGGATGGGCATCCAAGGAAAGGATTAGAGTAGTCTTCCCCCAGGCTCCCGGGGACTGGTGGTAGGATAAGCCAGAGGATGAGTGGGACTGAGAATGAGGGATGAGATGGGGTGGATGTGGATGAAAGTTAATTCATGTGCGGGAGAGGGAAGATGTGCCAGAAGGTAAACGAAGGTGATCTTGATCTTCAGAGAATGTTCGGCCTCAGAGTTAATTTCCTGCAAGTAACAACTAGAGGAAAGAGATGATACATGCTGTTGATAAAAAATGTATCCTTAACCAGCTCCTAACTTTTTTAAACAGCTCTTATTTTCTCCCAGATGTTTCCTTTCCTTTAAAAAGTGGGGGGTCTGCTTTTTGGTTTTCTTTACATATACAATTAATCTTCATCTTTCCTCTCAAACCTTGCTCTCTTTTTCTTATACCACTACCAGTATATACCTGACCCTAACCTTAAGCTCAAGTTAATTCACATAAGTCTAAACCGACTCACTAACATTAAATGCGTGATCACCACATTAGAACCAAGCCCTGTTGGTCCTGAGAAGATTATTATACATAACAAAAATGGTCCAAAATAGGTAACATTATCCTTTTATCTATCTGTCTTTCAGGGGTTATTTCTGCATTTCTGATAGACTTAAGTAATAGCTGAGCTTTTACTGCAAACAAATGCATCCACTTCCTTTCACCACATATAGTTGCGACTGTTCTAGTTAAACAGTTCAACTAAAACATATTTCTTTAGTACAACTGTTTTTAATATTCTTTTTTGTTTCTGCATTTTTTATTTTCTTTTATTTATTTTTTTTTATTTTTTCCTACTTGCTTTGATTCTGTTTTATCTTCCTGTATTTTAATCATGTAAAGCACTTTGCACTGTCTTTGTACTGAATTGTGCTATACAAATAAATGTGCCTTGCCTTGCCTTGCCTTGCCTTAAAATCATTTTGCATTTACTAAATAAATAAGAGTTTCAAGAAGCAAATTAATTAAATACTGAGTTTAAGGCCAGTGCCATACTGTAACACTACAGTGTTTTATTTCTGTTTCATAGAACTAGTCATCATTACCTTATTTGACTGAACAAAAATAGTACTAATAATATTAATAAAGAATGCAAGTTGCAGATACTTTTTGTTTAAATTCATTTAACTTAACCTAAATCTACACAATTTTTCAAAGGATTCATCACAACTGCAAAACTATCTAACATCAGTAGACTTGTGCTTGTCAGGAATCCAGTTTTTGTGGTTTGTTTCTGTGTCTCCTTTTTTCCTCCACTAGGTGGTGCCCCGTCCTCATTGGGCCTCCCTGCACACCTGCAGCTCATTGCCTCATTACCTGTGGAGTATTCTTAAGCTGCTGACTTCCACTACCTCAAGGCTGAGTGTTTGCCAATTGTGGGTACTCTAGCCATGCTTAGTTTAGCAGAGTCTAACCTAAGTTTTTGTTTTGCTAGTTTTGGGCACTCTAGCCAAGCTGAGTTTGCTGAGTCAAACTGAGTTTTTGTCAACCTGAGTTTAACTTTGTTTTTTGTCTTTGCGTCTCGGCAGGAAGTCATCCTGCAAACTGGATTTCTCAGACCTTCTCTCCCTGGAAGGATCAACTGAGCTTCAAACTGAGCTGGGGTTCAAACAGGAGGTTTGGATCCACTTTCCCCAAGAGATAGTTTGAGCTTCGCACTGACCACTATGACCCGTTCAAGTACCGCAGGAAATCTGAGTGGCAGTCAGCTTCTCCGTTCACCAAGGAACAACCGTAGTCTGAGTAAACCCTGTCCACCCAACATCAAACAAGACTTCACTGGAACATCACACGCAGACTGGATTCTATAAAGGACACCTTTTGTTGGAAACGTGAGTCTGCAACCTATTCCTCCTCTTCAAGCCCAAGATTCTAATTTCCCACTGAGCCTGAACTAACCGCAGTGTCTTCCCCTCACCTTTCAGTTCCCTCACCTTTCAGTGTTCAGCTTTGGACACATGTCATTGTTCTAATAAACCTGTTAAACATTTCCCTGGTCACTCTGTTAGTAAAATCATGACAGTGCTGTTCATCTTAGCTTATTGAACATAATAATCTTTAAATAAGGTGCTCTTTCTACTGTCCTTCAAAGAAATAAACTGCTATGATATCTGGTTTGTCATATCACCATTCAGCAACCCTATAACATTTATTAATATATTACCTAGTTTGATTTAAAGCATCTATAACTAGCACAAATTAATAGAAGTAACTAGCCAGTAATACTAGCAATATGGAAGATCATTAATATTAGCTTGTTCTTATCTTACCTATGAGTCATTGAGCACTGCCTCTTTCCCTTTGATTTTTTTTTTAAACCTGACATGAAAATTTATAATGAATCATTTTGAAGGAAACTGTCTTAATTTAGAATTTACACATAAACAAACTGTACTTACATTATATGTATTGAGCAGCAAAAGTTTGGATTTTCCAACTTTTACATATAATTTCATTAAAATCCATTCATGACTTTTCAGGTGTCCTGCTAACTTGCAAACCAACATTAAAAACCAAGAATAGCCTCCTTGGTGGAGGTATTAATATTTCTTTAGATGTTATATGCTGTTTCAGTCAAATCAGCTTTTGCGTATAAAGCCACATTCCTGCCTTAATTAAAGAACAGAATATACAGATATAATTACATTGATATTATTTTGGGTTTTTTTGGCCAACATTTTTATGTGTCTCAAAATAACTAAATAAAGGAATGAATTTGAGCATTGGTCTCCAGTTTAATCACTGATTATTAATTATTCAAGCATGTATTATAAAGTCAACAGCATTATCAGAGTAGGATATGATCTAACTGCATGATTATAAAAGGCTTTCAGTATATTACATTTTTGATCAACATATACATTTCTGATGTATGAAGTGATTCATGAAATTAAGGTTTAGATATCTTTCAATATATTCCAAAAGCTTTCTTTAGGTTAATATACATGAAGGTATATTAAAAAAAAACTTTTAATGTTAGAATAAGTAATCTGACAAGAAACAATATGGAAACAAGATCCAGAGGAGCAAGCAATACATTCTTTATCTTTAATAAATGATTACACCAAGCTATTAAATCAAATCCATTAACAATGTCGTATCATAGAGTAAAACGAGCACAAGTTAATGTCATCTTTTAACAATTTGGTAAAATATATCAGGGAAACTTCATAAATGTTTTACAGTCGACCTTAGTGAGATTCATCATCTTATTCAGTCACTGTAGGATGGAAACCTTTGTCTCATTTTCGTTCATAGGTGTACAGTTTGTTGTGGCATTGTGGACAGGAATGCTCCACATCCTTGCAAGAGTTGCAACAAAAGGGAATCAAACAACAAGGCCAGCATCTGTTGAGGAGGATGGGATAAAAAGAGACAGGGCAATATTTGATCATATTGATAATTAAAACTGATAAGCAAACTCAATATTTTGGTTCAGAATATTCTTTGACGCGTTTTCAACATTTCTTTGTTGCAATAATTCATAAATATGAAGTTGTTGCTGTATCCAACATCAAACTAATTATTATCTACAATCATGATGAGCTAAGGACTAAAAAACTTTGATTACTTTCATAACCCTTGTTCTCTGAGTAGCATGAGTGAGTGTCTCACATTGGGAACACCTTCAGCCCTCATCAGAAGCTCCTCTTACATTGCACCAGCCCAGATTGGCTGGACAATAAGCCTGTCAGTGTCAGCAAGAGCAGGGTCCCTCCCCTTATATATAGGGCTGACACTGTGCTGACAGTTATTCAAAAAGCGATCACCTCTTCCTTGCAATGACAGAGTACGGAAAGAGGGAGCTTCCTTCAAGCTCCCGGCACACCACGGAATGCTGGCCAACAGTTCTCCCCTCAAAGCCTATGTGGCAGACTGAAATTGCTGCTTGATAGACCTTACTAGTGAAGAAAGCTTTTCATTTATTTAAAAACTGACCAATTACTGTATATCCATACGGAGATCGTGTTGCAGGAGCTCTATCATCCTGTATTGTCTCAATAATATTTTTGTGGTTTAACCTGCAGACTGTAGGTTAAACCACTCACAGGCCAAGCTCACAGAGCCAGTCTTTATGGTTGGGGGTGAAAAATCTGTCCTTGCAATACCCATTAACCAATGCTCGCTGGCCAATTGGGTGCAATGACAATCATTGTCAGACCGTCTCCTCACACCCTGGCTAATGTAGGCGGGATGAGAGCTATTGGGGGAAACACATAAAGCAAAGCATGAGGCCAGAGGTCTATGGATGGCTGACCGAACCGGTGCCAGACCATCCTTACCACCTCTGGGTGGAGTTTTCACTCTGCATACATGGTATTCTCCCTGGAGAGACGATCTGTTACACAGTTCTGCACTCCCTGGAAATGGGTGGCCTACAAAGACGAAAATGTCTGCTGCTCCAAATGATTAGTTTGTGAGCCAGTGTGTGGAGCCTCAGTGATCTCAGCCCTATATATAGGGAGAGGGACTCTGCCCTCAGTGCGACTGAAAGGATTATTGTCCAGCCAATCCTGGCTGGCGTAATGTCAAAGGAGCTTCTGTTCCCAATGTGAGACACGAAACAAATGCTATGAAAGAAAAGTAACTTCTTTCAATGTAGTGGTTGAAGCCCCCCATGGTCTTCACCCATATCTCATGATTATAAGTGAGGATTGGAACAATGACAGCTTTATTTTATGACTGTTTTTTTGGCTTAACCTTTGCTTCACAGAGAATTATAGATATTCTACAATTATTCAGTTGTCTATTAAAAATAAAAACTCAGTTTTCTTTGGACTTAAAAGATACATTTAGTTTTAAAGACAGAGCTTTGTTAAGAAAAGTCTCAGCAACACTGACTTTATCAGCAGTGAGAGGCAGCAGTCACCAGCTAAGACTAGAATAATATTTTTCTTACTTTATCTTCAGTTGGGCATTATAATAATATCATCTGGTCATATAGAGCTGAAAATAGACACGGCTTAACTTAGCCTCCAATTTTAAAACTGTGACACCTTACTAAAGAATTAACAGTTTACCCAATTAAGTCTACCAGCAGCATTATGATAGCATCAATAAATTGCTAAATTACCTTTCAAAACAGACTGAAGTAAAGTGGTACAATTAAATCCCTAAGAAGTTTTTTTTTAACTGTATTTTAAGCTGTACTACTTGTATTTCTAGAAATCTAACAGAGAGAATTGCTGATTCAGTTCTAACATCAGTAATTGGTACAACAATTTGAATCCACGACCAACTTTATGCATATTTTCATGTTCAAGTTTCTACTTACAGAAATGCAAACAGCACTCCAACGATGATCCAGGTGTAGCAGCCTACTTTGTAACTAATTACAGTCACAACTTGGCTCCTGCAATGTGGACATATCATAGTTCCAGGATGTTCAGTGGGCATTTGTTGCACCACCATTGCCGGCTGGTTCACTATTGGCAAACTTTAGTTAATGACACACAACTCATACATTTGTATATTTAGATATCTATATACATTTATAAAAAGTAACTAATAATGTCACTTACTTGGCTGGACAACATGATGTTGGTTAACGATTTGCACAACTTGTGGTTGTTGTTGTTGTGGTTGTGATTGAGGTTGCTGAACTGGACATAGAAAAGGATTTAAATTATAATTAACTGGACAAAGAAACTAGCTAAATGCCTGGTAATAACTGCACAAATGCAAAACAATTGACACCAAAGATCATGTCTGATATCTTACCAGGCATAACATATTGTGGTTGAAATTGCTGAGCATCAGGCTGGGGAAATTGCTGCTCGTGATATTGCTGATAATCAGTTTGTTGATATTGCTGAGCATCAGGTTGGGGGAATTGCTGCTGAGGATATTGCTGATCAAAAGCTTGTGGATACTGCTGAATATCAGGCTGAGCAAATTGGTGCTGAGGATATGGCGGATCAGCCGATTGTTGATACTGTACAGCATCGGGCTGGGTAAATTGCTGTTGAGGATATTGCTGTTTAGCATCAGGTTGAGAAACAAAAGACTCAGATGCTGGCTGACCATCAGGTGTGGGTAGATTGAATACCATGTTACTGTCCAAAGGGGAGCCAGGATATGGTGGTGCTGGGCTATTTGGAATATCTGGTTCAACTGGGGGAGGCCCCTCATCTTTTCCCATCTTTTTATCTGCCAAAGATGTTAAAGAAAATACAGCAAAGGATAACATAAATATACAATAAAAAAAGAAAGAATATACTATATATATGAATATATATATATATATATATATATTAGGGCTGGGCGAAAAAAAGCTTATCGATAAAAAAAAATGCATATTGATCGATATCGATAATTATTGAAAAGATTTGAAACCATATTTTATGTGCAGCTCTGCCTGGACTTTTTATAATTTTGCTAAAAGATTTAATTTTAATAAAAAACACAAACACAGACTTAATTAAATATTTATTTAACCAACTTTTTTAACCATAACAGAATTGTTTTAAAGAAAAATAACTTAAGAGACCTGAGTTATGTCATTAAATACTGACAAAGAATAAACTAAAGTGACCAGAAAAGTGACCAAAATAAATATAACAAATAAATAAATGCCCCCCCACCGCCGCCGCCGCCCCCGTTTCCTGCTTTAACCTGAGTTATTACTTTGAAGTTTCTGGCCCCTCAGCATTTTTATCTCAATTGTTAGAACTACGTGGGAAACTGCCCAGAACTGAAAATGTATATATATTTTCCCGAAGATTCCTCGGAGGAGAGCCGCGCCGGGGCCTCGTACTCCTGCGGGTGTGAGCGGCTGAGATGATTAAAAAAAAAAAAAGTTGGTTGTGTTATCAGACTTGGTTTTCACTGGTTCCCGACACATTTTCCAGATGACTGTGGGTTTTTTTTTGTCCGACTTGCCATGACCGAAATACTGCCAGACTGCCGAACTACAAAAACCTTCTTTGAAACAATTTCCTCCGCCTCTCCTTGCTGCGACATCTTCATGTGCTCTGTGTTGTGGTTTGAGAGGGCGGCGCTTGGTGACGTCGTGCCTGGGTCCGCGATTGCGATTGGTTGGGAGGAAGCAGTGACTAGCATAAACCTACATGCTAGGCTACAATGAGAAGGAAGGAAAACTGCGTTTCTTTATCGAACTTTTATTGACCCTCTTTTTTTCTATTGCGCCACACGTCTATCGATCGATATATATCGTTATTGAATTATCGCCCAGCCCTAATATATACAGGTGCTGGTCATAAAATTAGAATATCATGAAAAAGTAGATTGATTTCAGTAATTCCATTTAAAAAGTGAAACTTGTATATTATATTCATACATTACATACAAACTCATATATTTCAGATGTTTATTTTGTTTAATTTTGATGATTACAAATGACAACAAATGAAAATCTCAAATTCATCATATCAGAAAATTAGAATATTGTGAAAAGGTTCAAAATTGATGGCCCCTGGTGCCACACTCTAATCAGCTAATTAACTCAAACCACCTGCAAAAGCCTTTAAATGGTCTTTCAGTCTAGTTCTATAGGCTACACAATCATGGGGAAGACTGCTGACTTGACAGTTGTCCAAAAGACGACCATCGACACCTTGCACAAGGAGGGCAAGACACAAAAGGTCATCGCTAAAGAGGCTGGCTGTTCACAGAGCTCAGTGTCCAAGCACATTAATAGAGAGGCGAAGGGAAGGAAAAGATGTGGTCGAAAAAAGTGTACAAGCAAGAGAGATAACCGCACCCTGGAGAGGATTGTGAAACAAAACCCATTCAAAAATGTGGGGGAGATTCACAAAGAGTGGACTGCAGCTGGAGTGAGTGCTTCAAGAACCACCACACACAGACGTATGAAAGACATGGGTTTCTGCTGTCGCATTCCTTGTGTCAAGCCACTCTTGAACCACAGACAGCGTCAGAAGCGTCTTGCCTGGGCTAAAGAGAAACAGGACTGGACTGCTGGTGAGTGGTCCAAAGTCATGTTCTCTGATGAAAGTAAATTTTGCATTTCCTTTGGAAATCAAGGTCCCAGAGTCTGGAGGAAAAGAAGAGAGGCACTTCATCCACGTTGCTTGAAGTCCAGTGTAAAGTTTCCACAGTCAGTGATGGTTTGGGGTGCCATGTCATCTGCTGGTGTTGGTCCATTGTGTTTTCTGAGGTCCAGGGTCAACGCAGCCACATACCAGGAAGTTTTAGAGCACTTCATGCTTCCTGCAGCTGACCAACTTTTTGGAGATGCAGATTTCATTTTCCAACAGGACTTGGCACCTGCACACAGTGCCAAAGCTACCAGTACCTGGTTGAAGGACCATGGTATCCCTGTTCTTAATTGGCCAGCAAACTCTCCTGACCTTAACCCCATAGAAAATCTATGGGGTATTGTGAAGAAGAAGATGCAATACACCAGACCCAACAATTCAGAAGAGCTAAAAGCCACTATTAGAGCAACCTGGGCTATCATAACACCTGAGCAGTGCCACAGACTGATCGACTCCATGCCACGCCGCATTGCTGCAGTAATACAGGCCAAAGGAGGCCCAACTAAATACTGAGTGCTGTACATGCTCATACTTTTCATGTTCATACTTTTCAGTTGGCCAACATTTCTATAAATCCTTTGTTTTTATTGGTCTTCAGTAATATTCTAATTTTCTGATATGATGAATTTGAGATTTTCATTTGTTGTCATTTGTAATCATCAAAATTAAACAAAATAAACATCTGAAATATATGAGTTTGTATGTAATGTATGAATATAATATACAAGTTTCACTTTTTAAATGGAATTACTGAAATCAATCTACTTTTTCATGATATTCTAATTTTATGACCAGCACCTGTACATGAGATCAACATCCTGGGACTTTGTCTGTTCTCGGTCTGCGGTTCTTTTGAATTGGAACAGTACTAGGGCTGAGGTTGATGACGTTTCACGAGTACACAAGCACATGAGAATGCTCAAGTACACATATTGAAAAAGGGCCCAGGCTTCAGGCTGTTGAACACCCAGGGGTTAAAATAGGCCCCCCACGTAGTTGTCCTCCAAAAGTGCCTGAGCAACCAGGTGATGGGGTAATGGTACGCAGAAAGTGTAGTCGTGGATCTCTGCCCCATGGTCAGCACCAACCTGTCCACGTTTCTAACCAATTTTCCCTTCAGTGACGCACCCACTGGGAAGCCCACTCTGGTAACTAGCAGCTCCATAGTCAGAAACGTGGCATTAGAAACACCAGGGACCACAGTCAAATGTTTGCCCAGGACCAGAATGGGCAACATCAAGATAAATTACAGTAAGATTGTTATTCACGCTGGCAGTAACGACACTTGAAAACGCCGATTGGAGGTCACTAAAATTAGTGTTGCTTCGGTGTGTAAGTTAGCCACAACAGACTGTTGTAATTTCCTTTGGTCCCCTCCCTGATCTGACCAGTGATGACATGTTTAGCCACATGTTGCCATTAAACAGCTGGTTGTGTAGGTAGTTTCTAGAAAACAACATGGGCTATATTAATAATTGGCTATCCTTTTGGGGAAAGCCTGGTCTGATTTGAAGAGACTGCATCCATCCCACTTTGGGTGGTGCTGCTCTTATTTCTAGGAATCTGGCCAAAATTTTTAGTCCTCCAAATCTCTGACAACCCAGGGTGCAGACCAGGAAGCAGAGTCATAGTTTAACACACCTCTCTGCAGCTTGTCTACTGTTACCTCTCATTGCTCCATCCACACAGTGTCTTGCCCAGGAACAAAAAGATTCCCAAAGGAGCAAATCATGATAATCTAACTTAAATTAAAATAACTCAGATTGGGGAAAAAGTTAAAACGATTAAATGTGGTTTACTTAACTTAAGATCTCTTTCTTCAAAAAGTCTGCTAATAAATGAGCTGATTTGTGGTAACCACACTGATTTATGTTGTCCTAAAGAAAATTGGCTGCAGCAAGAGGATTATTTGAGCATAAATCAGGTAACTCCTTCTAGCTATTTAAATTTTTACATACCCAGAAATTCTGGGCAAGCAGGAGGAGTAGCAACAGTCTTTAAGTCCTACTTATTGATTACTCCAAAGAAAGTTAATAACTACAACTCTTTTGAACATTTAACCCTTAGTTTCTCTCATCCAAACTGCAAAGTAAGAAAACCTCTTCTTGTACCTTTGTATCATCCACCAGATCCTTACTCTGAACTTTTAGAGTTCCTATCTGATTTGGTGTTAAATACTGACAGGGTTATCATAGTGGGGGATTTTAACATTAATGCTGACATTGACAGTGATAGCTTAAATGCAGCATTTAATGGTATCTTAGATGCTATTGGCTTAGATCAAAATGTGAATAGTCCCACACATTCTCATCTTCATACTTTCTGACCACTTTTTAATAACCTTCAGGATTACTTAAATAGGGTTCCCCTCCCCCGAAAGAAGATTTCATTTAGCAGATCATTATCAAATAGAGATTAGTGCTAGGACAAATTCTCTTTACTATATGCTCACAATTGGTAGATTTATTAGACAGCATGGGTTTAATTTCCACTGTTATGCTGATGATACTCGGCTATATCTGTCTAAAAATCGAGATGAAACTAACCCATAGATTACTGACTTGAAGATATACAAACCTGGCTGTCTCTTAACTTTCTGCTCCTGAATACAGACAAAATATAAGTAATAGTCTTTGGACCAGAGTCTTTGAAAAAGAAGCTGATTAGTCAATCACTTCATTTGGATGGGATTAAACTGATTCCAGATAATAAAGTAAAAACTCTTGGTGTTATTTTTGACCAGGACCTGTTATTTAAATTCCATATCAAAGAGATTTTTAGAATTTCCTTCTTTCATCTGTGCAATATTGCAAAAAATAGAAATATCCTGTCCAAGTGTGATGCTGAGAAACTAGTCCATTTATTTGTTACATCAAGGCTGGACTATTGTAATTCTTTACTATCAGGAAGTCCGCAAACTGTAGTTAAAAGCCTTCAGCTGATCCAAAATGCTGCTGCCACAAATGTGATGGACATTAAAAAGAGAGATCATATGTTAGCTTCAAAAAATTGTGAGTTCATATAGGACAAAAAATGAATCTGACACACCAAGGGATTTTCAAACACAGCTTCCTCCAGGAGGAGAAAGGCTGCCTGCTCACATTTCAGCACCTTTCTGTCCCACACCAGAACAGCAGAGTCTTTTATTAACAGAACATGACACAATGGGGTGGGTCCTATGACCCTAGAATGACCAACTGACTGAGAGGCAGGTCATAAAATCACAGGACAGAATGTAGCATCTTATTTCTTCAATGTTTCATATGCACACACATTAACTTTATAATAATCATTGAATAAACATAATATCATATCTCTCCTATCCTAGCTTCTCTTCATTGGCTTCCTATTAATGATTCCTGTTATGATTGTTCCTTATGTTCCAAACAGAGCACTTTGCTCTCAATCTGCAGGTTCACTAGTGGTTCCGAGAAGTTCAAAAAATAGAAGGGGAGTTATCAGTTATCAGGCTCCTCTCCTGTGGAACCAACTATCAGTTTTAGTCTGTGAGGCAGACACCCTGTCTACTTCTAAGGGTAGGTTTAAAACTTTCCATTTTGATAAAGCTTATAGTTAAGAGTGGCTAATGTTATCCTTAGTAGAGTATCTCTATAATCATGCTGGGTTAGGCTTAGACTTCTGGAGGACATAGGGACCCCTTTTTCATCATTCTGCTTAAGTTTCTCTCTCTATTCTCCCACTCTTCAGAACATGTTAGTTCAATCTGTAACATTAAACTCTCTCTGCTTTTTCTCATAGTAGCTTTGCCTCGTCTGTTCCTGTTTGGCTGTGACACCACCCTGGAGAGAAATATCAGCTGTGCTGCTGCCATAAACACATTTGTTTACTGATGTTCAAGATCAGCCTGTTTTTCAGTGTAGTCCTGTTTCTCTGACTGTGACTGGCTGAATGTGCTCTGTTCATCCTTTGACACGGGAGCTGGCTTGGAGCTTGTCTGCCTGGACGGGGCCATCTTTTCTAGTTGCCTTTTGTATCTCTGCTTCTTTCTGTATGTCTGCTTCTGTCTCCCTGAGTCTGCCTCCCCAGTTGGCCTCAGCAGCAGTTAAAAGTTTTTTTTTTCTCACCACTGTTACTACAAGCATGCTTAGTGTGAAGGCTTTTTGTCAATTAGTTCATGCAATCAAATGGTTTTCCTTAGATAGAAAACTTTGAATCAATTTGACTGTATCATCTGGTGAACCGTAAATTGCCTTGAGAAATATGAAATATGAAATATGTTGTGAATTGGTACTACATAAATAAACTGAATTGAATTGAACAAAAAGATAGAGAAGAATCTAAAATGACTATACATAATGTATAAAGAATTCAGTATTAAACCATGAACTTAATCCCCATAAGATTGTACTAACATGGGAACAACTACAGAACATTGACAGCAGAAACAAAAAAAAAAAGATATTCTAAAACTGGAGCTGGGAAATATGGAATACCTGGAATATCTTGTACAACTGCACTATCTAGAGGAGGTCCTTCACCTTTTTCCATTTTACCTGCCAAGGAAGTAAGAGATAGCACAGGACAGCATAAAAAAATTGAATGTGTCATCAGTACTTCTGACTTTTCAGGTACAGTAGTAAGCAGGATTACAGTTTTTTCAGTCACTGACAAGCTTTTGTCAAATCAGTTGTCACATTTTCAAATCTCTAAACACAGCACAGCATCGGTCTTTCATGGCCATACCATTCACACATTTCATGTTGTTTTCACACAACATACAGTCAGTAAACACATTTCCACAAAGCTTAAATTTTCTTAATAGACACACTATACCTTCCAACAAAATTATGGATTGTTTTTGTAGTATTTACAAATGTCAACACACACCATCCCACAATAGCAAAAACGTTATTTCAAACCTTAGATACAGTATAAAAACCTCTGTTTCTGCAATAATATCATTCTAAAACAATAAACCTTGGCTGATAATAAACAAACATTTAAATAATTGACACATAGCTGATTTATGTTGGGTAAATTGGGCCAACCACAGATGATTCCAGTCTGGCTAAGACTTGTAGTGCCAGGGTGTTTTTCCTCTACTACATATATATAAAAGGAGGACTTTGAGGAGTGATGTTTTTGGAAAAATAAACATAAAAAGAACTGTAATGTCTGGACGAGGAAGAGTAAGAGCAAGGGGCCAAGGGAGAATAGAAGGCCCAAGGAGAGGGCAAGTTAGAGGTGTAAGAATGCGTGGTGGAGGCAATCCAGGGGCTCCAAGAACAGTAATCAATGATGAAATTCGTGCAACATTCATTGACCATGTAATCAACCATGGTCTTTAACTAAGAGAGGCTGGTGAAAGAGTGCAGCCCAATTTGAGGCAGTCAATGGTTGCCTCCTTTATATGCATCTTTCAGCAAACCAACAGGTAAGTATTGCATTTTACATGGATCGTTTCTATTTTCACTTGACATTTCAATAAGGTCATACAGTAATGCATATGTTTGTATTTTTTGTCCCTGTAAAGAATGCAATGTCTTCCACCCTCACGGGGAAGAGGAAAGCTCCTCAATAACAATCAACAGCTGGCCATTGTAGAAATAGTTGTTGCAAACTGCAATAAAACTGCATGAAATTCAAACTAGGATTGTGGAGGACCATGAGATATTTGATAACATCGATAGCATCTGCCTCTCGACCATTACGAGGACATTCTCCAAACACAGAGTGCGGATGAAGCAGCTCTACCCTGTTCCCTTTGAGAGGAACAGTGAGAGTCAAGGAGCTATGAAAACAATATGCCCAGGTATATTGTATATTCAATTAAATGTCCAGTTCTATAAGCTTTGCACTTAACCTACACAGTTATAGGTTACAGTACAGTATGGATTATAGTAATGACATGATTTACCTAAACTTTGTTTCAGAGTTTTGGAATTGGAGGCCAACCAGGCCCCTCATGAATATATATATATATATATATATATATATATATATATATATATATATATATATATATATATATATATATATATATATATATATATATATATATATATATATATATATATATATATATATATATATATATAGATGAGGCAGGATTCAATCTGGCTAAGAGGAGTCGACGTGGACGAAATGTAATTGGAAAAAGAGCCACAGTTGATGTGCCAGGACAGAGAGGGGCAAAAATTATCATGTGTGCAGCAATTGCAGATGCAGGATAACTCCTTCACAGATGTCAGGTTGGACCTTATAATACTGAGTGCATCCTTGACTTCTCAATGATCTCCACCAGCACCTGTTTCCAGAGCAGTATTGGGAGGGTGAAAACATGAGGACCTTTGTAATTATCTGTTATAGCAATGTTGTGCTTTTTATTTAGTTTATTCCCCCAATATTTATCTGGACTTGTCTCTGTTGTTCTTTTTGTTCAGAGTGGTCTTGTGTGTTTCACAGATATTTTTTTCATTGTAAGAAATACTGTAAAACTTTTTTCTGCTCTATCAAACCGTGTTTCTACTGTGCCTCCTTTAGTAAACAGTACAGGAAAAAAAACGGATTTGCTTTTTACTGGAATGCTTTTGAATGCGAGCATTACTGTATATGTGGACAATGGACATATAGTTACCAACCAAGAAATTTAGTGTAAAAACGGAATGCAAGTTTGCATGCAAATACCTGTAAAACTGAAACATAAAAGTCTATGTAGTTTTTTTTTATGTCAACAATAGCCAGTATTTTGAAACCTGGTGCACTTTGATTGACTGCATGTATTTTGTGAAGTGAAAACAAGTGTCATTCTTTGATAGAATAATTTCATTTTGAGTCAGATGTCCAGTGTTTTGGTAAAGATAGTGTGTGCAGAGAAAAGTGTGTTATATTTTGAAGTTAGTATACATTTAACAAAATGCATTTTTGAGAAGAGAGTTATCCATTTGCAAATTGTGTTTTGTAGGTGCGAGTCTGGTTTAAGAGTTTAGAAAACGTGTCTGAAGTATGGGTAAGCCCTTCTTAGTGAAATTGTGACACCAATTGTGACACCAAGCTTTTTAAGTTACATGTATGAATCGGCTTTGATCCACACCACTGCATAAAAAGCTGGTTATCAGTTGAGATTAGTTGTAGATAAATCTTCCCTGTGTTTCATTGTTTAGGTGATTTGTGAAGTGGGTGTGTCATCTCGATTCAGAAAGAGTGGAATGTCACTCTGCTGCTTCTTCAGTAGGTCTCACATACTTGAAGAAGCACCAGTCTGACATTTCTTATTCATTTAGAACAACACCACACTGACCTTTACACGTTTATGAAAGGAGGAAATGTGGAAAGGTTTAATGGGTATGAATTGGGGTGGGGAAAAACATTTTTCCTATCCCTATCATTCACTCAGACTCACACCTGCAAAATTAGACAAATGGCTAGCCATTATGGCTTCTCTTACTGACACCTGATAACCTGTTTTGTAGAAGCAAGAAGATGTCAGGACAGCAGTGACAATCCCTCAAGTACGAGGTTGTTCAACATCCATCTTTTTGTGGGAGCTACTTGTATCATGTATTGCAAGGCTGCATTTGCAGCTGATAACTTTTGATCTCCGATGCATAAGACTGCAAGTCAAAAGCCATATGTAGAAAGTGCTTGTAAAAATGGTGGCTTAATCCAAAAAGCTTTTCCATAGAGTTTCAACCAGGGCTCCAGTAGACTTTTCTGTAGCTTTTAAGAAGTTACATGTATACCATGATTCATTATACTCAGTCAAAGCAGAGCTTTCTTATTGTTCTATTTATTTAATATTTTCCGAGTGCACTTTAGGGGGAATTACCTAACATCCACCAAATATTTGGCTGCATATCTGTTCCAGTGTGCATAAAAAATTGAATATGGTCAAATAATATACAGTACAGTAAACATGTGCAATAAGAGAAAAGTTGGCACTAGATTTGATTGAGGTGTTCCAATTGTGCAGATGAGTGCTGGGGCGATCGGACTCGGTTTATTATGCTGATTTTAAAAAATTTTTTTAATTTGAAACATTGCACTTTTTATTTTTGCTGATGTTCTCAAAATTAACAGATTATATATTGTGCTGCTGGGGAAACCTTTTCAGGATCTACAGAAACAACTGTCCTATTGTGGCTTGCCATAGGATCTCTTTCTTCTTTCTCTGACACCTAGAGAATGGGGGAAGCTTACCAACCTTGGTTGTTTCATGAGCACAAACAACTCAAAGATTATTCTCTATTAAGATTTCCATTATTTACTTTAGATTTTTGTCTTAGTGGGTTTTGTAATGGGCTATGAGCCGGGTCGTTTCAATTCAGATTAGCGCCAATTCACAACACATGTAATCTCAAGGCACTTTACAGTTACCAGATCATACAAACGTTTTCTTTCTAAGCAAAACCAGTTGATTGCATTGACTCATTCCCTCAAATGCAATCCCTCACACTAAGCATGCTTTTAGCAACAGTGGGGAGGAAATAATCCCTTTTAACAGGAAGAAACTTCCAGCAGAACCAGGCTCAGTGTGAGCGGCCATCTGCTGAGGCCGACTGGGGTTCAAGGAGACAGAAGCAGAGATGCAAGCATGACAAAGTGTTTCTACTGTATTTAAAACCAAACAATGTAATAACACTAATACAGATGCCAGTGGCTTCAGGGGCTAACATGCTTTAAGCCTCTTCTCTAAAATTTATTTACATTTAATTTAAAGTGAGGTTACTTTATTTCAAGCAGGGTTGCTGTTCTGCAGATTTTATAGGTTGTTCTCCTGGTAATGGGAATGTGCTGTCAGCTATGTGTCAGGTGCGCAAGGTCCTGCACAGGGCGCAAAGCTCTTCATCCACTGATGTAAAAGTATCATGTGAACTCTTTACAATATGTATGGCACACATTTCGCATCATATAATTACAGTAATAATGATAATTATAATAATGATTATAATGTTATTATCATAATTGTGGTGTGCTTTGTGTATCTCTTTGGCAACCTGTAGAGTTCTTCTTCTTGCTGCTATCTTTTCAGAGTTCTTGTGAAGAGTGGCCCTATTCAACACACGAGTGTACTTGTGTCGGAATGGCAACAATTAAAACTGTCATAGTGGGGGGATGCAACTGATCGTAGAGGGGCATGTCTTTGTAAAGGGTTATTGGGGTGTTGTCTGAATATTGGGGTGGTGAATTAATGGTATGTCAGAAAAAGGCAAGCTAAACAAAACCCTTTGCCATAAGTGTTACTTTGCCTTTTTCAACTCATTAGGAATAATCACATAATGTTAAGAATTAATTATCTAAAAAGTTATTTATTTCTGATAAAATAAGATCAGATTTTAAAATATTATTCTACAAAAAAATTTTTTGAGAATTTTTCAAAAGCAACCTCTTTGCTTTTGTGCAGGCTGATTGCATTCCAATTGCTCTCGATATGTTTAAAAGCTCACTTGAAAAGATTTCAAACTCTTCAAGATAAACTTTGTTTCTCAAAACAAAAAAATCATGTGTTATCAAAAAAATCCTGTGTTATCTGTGATATCTTCACCTGATCTTATTGATCAGGATTTTTCAAATATTTTCATTTGCCTTTTTTCCTGTAAGTGTACGTAGTAGATAATTAGTTGAGATTCACTAGCTTGAAAGTTTTAAACTGATATATCATTAACCTTGAGTTGAATTATTCCTATTAATAAATTCGCATATTTGAAATGAAGTTGTGAATTTATTCCATATAGGTGTAGAGTTAGTTATTTGACCTTGATTTGAGAGTTTGACACACTTTTATCTGTTGTCCAATCACACAGACAATACACAAAACAACATGGCAGTCCATTAGTGATTTGATTTGAATATACAATTCTACAATACGGTCCATTGTAGGATTGAAGCAACTGCTAGCATTAAACAGGTTCTAAAAAGTAATGAGTCATTTTCTTTGCAATGCTTTAAATACCTGTGATGTAAATACCAAAGGGAATGCACTGGAGATAACGAAACACCAGGCACAAAAGAGTGAAGTCCTTGTTGAACCTGTTCACCTACTTTCTGAAGATTAGTTCACACTGTTTTATTTTTATTTTATACATAGCCCATACTACAATCTGTGTAAAATGTTCCACTGGTAACTTTTAAAACTATGAGTTTGTTTTTTTGTTTTTTTTTGTCACATTCGCTCAAATTTGTTTGTTTGTTTGTTCACTTACATACATTTTCCATAATTATGTTTTAAGACATATATATCCCTTCCAAAACTTTATATCAAAGTAATTAATTCAAAAATGCATATAGAAGTACATCTTAATGAATTGGAATATCATTGAAGTTCATTTATTTCAGTAACTCAGTTCAAATCTAAATGATTATGTTCAAGCTTTAATTTCTGTTAATTTTGATCATTTCTACTTAAAACATTCATAAAGATTAGAATATTACAAGAGAAAAATAAAAAAACAATGCTGAAAAAGTAATACAGCTTAAAAATATTACTTTTTACAACTGGTATGTTTAATCTGAAAATTGAGCCTCATTGGAGGCTCTATTTTATTTTACTGATTTAAATCTGTATGTTAAAAAATATATCTAGGTTTTAAATCTTCTTACCTGTGGTTTTGTGTGTGGAATGGCTTCAGAAAGGTGCAAGACAACCAAGTGCCCTATTTATCTGATGGTAGATAAAAATAACAGCAAAACACATTTCTGACAAAAGGTGGAGCAACAGAGCAGGCAGGTAGAAGTAGGTGTGGAGTGTAGATTCCAAAAAAACTAAACAAAAAAAGTTCTCTTCTTGGGTTTGGAGCTAGATTTAGGTATAAGGTTCAAAATCAATTTAGGTTATGGTTAAGTTGGTGATGCTTAGGGTTAGGGTTAAGATCCGGGTTAAGACTGTTGAGCTTTGCAGCTTCACCACCTTTGAACTTGGGGGAAACACAGACACAGAAGCAATCTCTTCTTTAGCCCTCTTGACATATTTATTAACTGAATGACTCCACAGCAGAGAACATAACAGAGAACAGGAATTGGGGAGGGAAAAAAAAGCAAAAATGCACTGACACCTGTTGCCAGTCTCACAGCGACACACTGTGGCGAAAAAAGACACTGCACACAAACAGAGTACAGTACACCGAAATTGTATTCAGTTTGTGGAAACTAAAAAAAAAAAAATTACACACAATAATGAAACATAGATGTGGACCTCTTCTGCCCCTTTTTAAATGCCATGTCATTTGAAGTCTTTTATAATTTTAGCTATTGAAGTAAATGGAAGCTATTGTAGAAAAACACTGCATTTTTTTATAAGAAATTACAAAAAATATTTAAAAAACTTAAAGAAAATAAAAATGAGTGTGCCTCATCTTCCCCAACAATTTCAGTCTGATTTAAGGGAAGCGGTGGCCTAGTGATTTAGGGCTTTGCGCTTGGGTTCCAGAGGTTCTGAGTTCAAGCCCCACACCCATGGACTGCCACTCTAGGTCCCTGAACAAAGACCATTAACCCCACACTGCTCCACGGGTGCTGCACAATGGCAGCCCACTGCTCCCCAAAAGGGATTTGTTAATTTAAGAGTTAATTTCGTTACTCTGCACTTGTGACAGTTTTATGTAAATAAAAACAGAAAAAAAAAAAAAAAAAATCTAAGTCTGTGGGTCATCTGACGTGAAAGCTATATAGGAGAAAAAGCAGATTTTGAGTCAATGAGTCAAGCTATAGAAGAAAATAAATTTTGAATAAAGAAAATCCTAAAAATATAGACTTAAAATGAAATTAAACATGAGTTCGCCTCATCTGGCCCATCTAGTATTTTAGGCAGATTTTCTATCAATGGATCACATTACCTGGACGCTATTGAAGTAAAACAATAAATTATGAATAAAAACAATCCTAAAAATTATAAAAAAGAATATCCAGAATATTCCCCAGTACAAGGAGGCTCAGTGGAAGAGTGGAGGGAATGTAAAACAGCTGCTATTTCTTCTCTAGTGCCCTCTTATGGAACCATTTCACCAGCGCTGCTGACTTTACCAGCCTGGGTTTATAATCATTCCCGAAAAACCTGGAAAAGCTTGTTAGACAAGTTTTTAGCTCCTCTGGGTCTGAGTCATTCAGTTCTCGTAGAAGGATTGCATTCCTCCTTAAATACTGTATGTTCACTCAGCTGTTTTTTTCCCCCTCTCATAAACACTAGTAAAGCAAAAAGAAAGAAGAGAAAAAAACAAAATAAAAAGGAACAAATTTGGCAGCAGACATGAGCGTGTACAATTCATGCCAGTACACAAGAGTCCTAGCATTTGCAGGGCAATAATAATAATACTGTGTAGCAGAGAAAAACCACTTTTAAGTTTGGACTTACATCGATTAACTTCTGATAATCTATTAGAGTGATCTGAGATTAAAAGACAAATATCTGAGATTAAAAGACAAATAGCAATACTTTCAAGTCAATTAATTAAAGAAATTGCTTATTGAGTAAAAAAATTGACAATTTCAAAAACAGATTCAGGCATTTAGGTAGAGAGACCATCTTGATTCAATTGATGCAACCCACTGTGGAGATTGGAACAGCCCCCGTTATTTCTTAATTTCCAGTTACTTTTCTTTTTTAAAAAGGAGATATGTAACTGCTGATGGAGTCTTAGCTGCATCCAGCAGTACCGTAATGCTATAATATATAACCATAATGCTATTAGCCTGGAAGGCTACCAATTTTCAAAGCTTTCTATAAATGTTTAAGATTTTGTAATGCTGGTTTGCTCCCAGGGCCAATAAGGCATTATTTGTATAACACAATTCAGTACATGGATAATTCAAAGTTTACATGAATTACCGGTAAATAATAAAATAGAAGAACAATACAAGAATAATAGCAAATGAAGATAAAAACATGTGTAAAACAAATACAACTATTGGACCACAGCCTTATTATAATACCTGAGTTAACAGTTTAACGTCCCCAGTCAAAGGAAGCTCTAAACAAATGGGTTTTGACTTAAAAGAAGTCAGGATTTTAGCCCTTTTTCCAGTCTTCTGGGACTTTATTCCAGATCACTGTAGCATAGCAACTAAATGCTGCTTCTCCATTTTTAGTTCTAGTTCTGGGTGAACAGAGTAGGCTTGAACTGTAAGACCTGAGTACCCAAATTTAGTGGAGAATTAGTTTAATAAGAGGGAGGCCATCTTTTTCCAGTCAGCCAAGTTCCAATGATGAAAGTTTCTTACTGATTCACCAAACTCTCATTTCTCTGGCTGCTAAACACTACAAATGAGATGCAGATTATTTTACTACACAGCTACTCTAAAGAAACAAACTAAATGAACAAAAATGTATTCTACCTATTCAGAGCCAAATAAATGTTGGCACCTTGAGCTGTATCAAGATTTAAGTTATTGCACCATGTCACTTCTTTTGCTTAAAGAAAGTCTGTAATATGGTTCACGATCAACAATATTATATACTAAGGAAATATTTGTTGGATTTTGTAGTTTGGTAATCCAGCAATGCAATGCAAACATGGCTTCCAGTGATGAAATGAACAAAAATTCATTCAAACATTTCAGATTTTTTAGAAATCTATTTTATTTATTAATTATTATCATATACAACTTGAATCAAATTTTCTATTAGGCTGATCTTTTTTATTTCTATTCATAGTAAAAAATGAGGCTAACAAAATCCCATCTCAACCCAAATCAATGAAATATATAAAATATATGCATTATAATACATTTTAAATTTCAAATTGATTTATGTGGTATATATTTTCATGAATCTCAAAAGAATCAAAATATTAGAAAAAAAACAAAAAAAAATTTCGGTTTAGGATTAGTCTTAAATTAAAACTGTTAGCAATGCATCACCAGTTAGCAAAAGGTAATGTCACATTTCAATTATGAAATATATGATATAAGATATATTATATAAGATATGAGGGAAACTCAGTACATGTGACCTTAATAGACATCTTGCATACATTTCATGTCGCTGCCGGATTCAACATTATCTTTCACCTGAGTTTGTGGGTGTGCAGGACGTTGTTGCATTGTGGGCAGGAATGCTGCACATCCTTGCAGATATTCACAAAGAAGGGAATTATGAAGCAAGGCCAGCACCTGATGTGGAAGATATGATACAAAGGTACAGAATAAATGTTGTCATGTGTCTATTTAAGCTGATGAGAAACTAAATCTGTGGTTGGCTCCAGATGTCTCCATAGTTTCTGGTTTGTTTGACTTTGTTTACATGTTTTTGATTTTTTGGACTTTTGGATTCCTACCTAGTTTCTGGTTTGTTTGGACTTTTTTCATGTTTGATTTTTTTGGGATTCTTGGATTCTTGCCTCAGCTGTTTATCTGTTAAAATTTCATTAAACCAAAAAGAAACTCACCTCTGCCTCCCTGACTCTGCATTTGGGTCCTTAAACCACAACCAAATCCTGACATCACTGTGGTCTGTTTTATTTGTACTATTATAAAACCAAATTAAAGTAAATAAAATTCTGTTTATTTATATAGTGCCAATTATCAACATGTCATCTCAAAGTCCTTTACATAGACTTTTCAATTAGATGGCAGCCCACTGCTCTTGATATACTAATAGTATTATTTTACAACCATTTGAGCCTTTCACAGGACATTACATGTATGCTCATGTTGAAGTTTTGACTTACCCTATTATAAACAGCAGTCCAGCAGTTAACCAGGTAAAAAAGCCAATTTTGTGTTCGATGGAGGTCACCACTGTGGTCTGGCAATGTGGACAGTGCATATTCCCTGGAGCGTCAGTAGGCGTCCGTTGCACCACCACCACTTGGTTCACTGTCAGTCAGACTTTCTTAATTACACACCACTAACTTTGGAGCTCTAGTATGTATAATTAACACTATATAATATAAACTACATATTTTAAGGGCAATTATAATTTATTTTAAAAATAAGTTGACCGTCACTCACCAGGCTGAACAACCTGAGCTTGCTGCGGGACGTACTGAATACATTGTTGTTGTTGTTGAGCTAGATATAAAATATGTTTTAGAATTAATGGAATGAAGCATAAACTAGGTTTCTAAGATTAAAGATTCCAAGCAGATGATATATATATATATATATATATATATATATATATATATATATATATATATATATATATATATATATATATACACACACAACAGCCCTGATATGAAAGAAAAACAAGCAAAAAAGAAAAAAGTAATGACACCAAAAAAAAGGTCTCTGATCCCTTACCTGGCTGGAGATATTGTTGATCAGCAGGGTTGGAATATTGCTGAGGATATTGCTGACCCACAGGTTGGTAAGAAGGCTGAGCATCTTGCTGCAGATTTTGCTGTTGAGGATTTTTCTGATAAACAGTTTGGTCAGAGGTATGAGCAATAAGCTGAGGTTCAGGCTTTCCATCAGATCTAGATTGTGGTGGCAGGCTGTTGACTGCATTGTTGTCCAAAGAGGGACCAGGATATGGTGGGGCTGGTTCATCTTGATTATCTACAGCGGTTTCAATATGTAAAGGAGGTCCTTCCACTTTTTCCATTTTATCTGTAAGAAATAAATAATTACAAATCTGTAAAATATTTAATATATCAAGCAGTTTTATTTTTCTTTCTTTACTTTTTTTTTAACTGAATAAACCAAGTTGTTGCACTGAGGCACCAAACTTTTCCAAATTCTTATGATAAGGAAAGAGCTTGCTTATATTATGGATGAATGCATGAAAGGTTGTCTGTCAGGTTGGAGTATCGTACTTTATGCATGACTTCTTTACCAAACAACACTATGTATATACCAGAGGAAGTGTCTTTGTCAAAGTGGCGTCTGATAAAATTAGATTATGAGACACCTACTTAAAGTGGGTGGTAAAACTAAGGTGCCATTTTTAAATATTTATAACTTTTTGGGAAAAAATTATTGACAAAATCTTTGTTGAGTCTTACGCCTTTTATGTATCATAATATAGTTTTATTTAATAGAAAAACAGAAAATGGATCCTAAAAATAAAGCTAAAAGGGAAAAAGATTTGGTTGATTAAATTTTTTTCAAGATGAAATTCTCTAAAAGTAGATTTCGGTTTGTTTAGGTAAAGTTAAACGTCCGATTGGAATAATAACTGTCACCCTGTAAATGTGTCCAAAAGCAAATGAAAGGAATCATAACCCCAGACAAACACAAACAGCTGCTCAAGTTGCGTGTTAACCAGAAGCACAGACAAAATGCTCTGAATAGTAATTTGGTGTTCTCATAAATGAATATACTCTGAAGTCTAATTTTCATTCAAAAGGTGACTTCTTAGGCTGCTTAAAGGTAAATATTAATTTTTCAAAATGACTGTTTTCTTGTCAGTCGTCCAAATAGTTAAGATCTGTAAAGTTTTCCTCTCTAAATAGCCCATTAGACAGATTCTCCCACCTGTATAAAGTAATTCACATTTATTAGAAAGTCTAAGGAGTTCTCATTCTGCAAGTATACTGGGACAATTGGACTGGTTGGATGCTGTCAATTTTAATTGCATTTCATGATAAAATGACAGTTCCTAGTGCAAAGTCATCAAAATGAACTGTAAATTGCTGTGCTAATGAGGAACTAAGCCTCAAGTGAATCAACATGTTTGATGTGGCCTTACAATGAGCCCGCATCTTTTTATTTGGTTCACTTGAGCAGAAAGCCACAGTTTCATACACTTAATTCCTGAAATAACACCCTGCCTGTCTATTATAGCAAGTTGGCAGGGTCAAGTTCATGTCAGTCAACATTTTAGAGGAACAATGAGCCATCTTTATTCTAATGCAGTGAATGCCAGGGATGCAAATAGTTTCCGTTAAATAGAAGGCATACATTTGAGGGAAATGTTTTCAAAAGCCTATGATTACATACTTTGATTGAGTTGTATAACCATTTTCTGTTAAAGGGGTTTACCTCCTCTTCATGTTTTTCTACTGACACATCCAAATATTTTTTTTTCCATAGATATTTTTTTCCATTACGTTTTAACATGGCTATCACTGTTTAGAATGATAAATCAAATGACGGATATACATAATTCCTCATTATAGTTTTAAGAAAACTGTACCTGCCTTATCTTCAATCCAAGGTGAAACAAAATCACACAACATACAAGTTTTTTTTCAATCAATTGGAATAATCAAAGATATGATTTCTGTAGTTACTTAATCTGCTAAATGAAACTGTTACACCAATAATGTAGTTTTCAAGCCTTTATTTCTGCTAACAATTTTTTTTTAATTTGTTTTGGTTATTGAAAGCATAAAATGTCATACTAAAATTTTTATATTAGAAATGTCAAAACATGCTTAATACCCAGGGGATGGGTAATAAGAAGTATTTTTGATAACCAATTAGATTGTTAGGGTTTATTATTTATACATCATGTGCACTGTTAATTTGTTTGTCAGATTAGACAGAGCAGAAGGCCTTCCTTCACATTGTGGATATCACGGTGTGTACGGAGGTCATCTAATCAAGACAGCCTTTGTGTCTCTAAGAGTACAAAGGATATGGGCACATCTTGGAGCCGGTCTGATAGGAGAGCTGCTGTATCTGTAACCCTGAGACAGAGAGGCAACCTGCATGGAGTTCAAGACATGGATGGCGTGTCAGTTTCTGATACGGACAGCTAAGCATCCACATGATGCAACACATAGACTCACAAGGTATAAGAAGCAGGTGATGACCTTCATCGGGGCTCAAACTTTGCCGGACGCTTGCGGACGTGATTTTTGAGACCACAGCTGTGCATAGCTCGAAGCATTTTTCTCTGTCCTGTAACGACCTGATCTAGAATAAACTCTGTTACTTTTTTACTCCTGTTTTTATAGTCCTTTTTTATATGGTTTTAACGAGTTTGAGTTAAGAGTAGTAAATAACTTGCTCCCAGGAAAAGAACCGTGTGAGGAGGCCCCGGGGCGTTACAGCCTTTACTTTGAAGGGGACAAATCCTTCTCACTTTAACAAGATGATGTTTCTTTTGAAAATGACTTAATTTTAACAAATAACCCTCATCTGAACATATTTTTACAGTTCAATTAGATATACCTGTAATCTACAATAGATATTGATTTGTCTTAGAGATAAAATTATGAAGTTTTTACTTATAGGAAGCTAAAATAAAGATAAGGACACACAAAGCTAATGAGATACTGTTGGTACTAGAATATTTGCCTTAATTCTTAACCTTATCTGAACCTTTAAAGTTATCTCACCTGCGGTTGGACTTGTTAAATGCCTTGAAAGATGATCAGGAGGGTGAAGGATAACCAGTGTGTCTAATCTAACTGACCCTGCTTAAGAGTTAAATGCAAAACACATTCTGTGTTTATTACCAGGGGAGGAGCAAACAACCAAGCAGAAAGAAGTAGGTGTGGGCACTAGCTCCTTAAAAAAACATTATCATCCTCTGGCATCATGTAGCTGCTCAGTGTAGCTTGTAAGAAAAGAATAGATTGACTCTTAGTTACTACCTTTATTATTATTATTATAATTATTATTATTATGCATATATTATTTAAGATCAATATCATGTCACACAATAGAGACTGTTGAGGTGGGGGATTTGGTTTTTAGATGGGGATCTGACAGTAACAGCAACAACTTCAACTACAATTTTTTGCAGTTTACATTAAACCCGGCCAGTTGTCCCGGGCCCAGGGTAGAGGGGGGACTGAATCAGCCCCCTAAATCTTTTGCCGCAAATATATATGTTTTTTAAAGATGTTTGCAAGGATATTGGATCTTTATTCTTTCATAAAACATTTTCCTATTATTACGAAGAAGAAGCCGCCTCCAGCCGGGGGAACAGCTTTAGATCGAACAGAACTTTTGATCGCCCCCACCTGCAAAAGCCTGAGAAGCTTGTAAGCCCTTTGATGTAGCAAAAAACTCAGCAGTTTTGTTCCTTATCTTTGCTAGATGAAGTTATAATTAAGACCGGACAAATTTTTAAGAGATTGAGAAGTTTTGAATTTGACTGACGTGACTGCATCGCTGCAACAATGCTGCGGTGGAAGTGAATAAATAGACAATCCTTCTGTATTGCCTTAACTGCTTAAGATAGATTTTGACCAGAAAATTTTGTGGTCTAATTTAAACATGTCATACAAGTAAAAATCTATAAATGGGATCAAATGCAACTGGAGCAGGTATGGAAATCTAAATGTACCATATATTTCATAAAATAATGTAGCCGGGTGGTAAATTAAAGTGTTGGCTTACTACTATTTTATTTTTCTGAAACGGAGGGTTCAGGGAACCTGTATGTGTGGTGCTTTGCGGCTATTTCCTGCACATGAAATAAGATGTCTGATCATCTTATTCTGGAATGTAAGTGTTGATAAAATAAGTCATATCACAATTTCATGTGCTCTAAATCACTGTGGTGTAATGTAGTTCTCTGTATTTTGTTTGTGCAGTCAGAGGCCATTGCCGTATTTCTTTATTTTTTCTTTAGATATTGTGTTTTCTTTTTTTGGTGAATTATCTTTTATTTTAGAGATTGCCACATTTCAGTGGTTACTTAACGTTTGGTTCGCATTTGTTCTCATTTTTGAACAAAAGTAAAAAACAAGACAGTTTTGGTTAATGTGTCTAAATGGAAAATAAAATATAATGCACATTTAGAACCCCAGTTTTTGTGTCCTGTGAGGCTAAGTATTTCCCGGGATACAGTAAATATAAACATTTAAATGTTACCTTAAATATTATGTATATTTCTTTATCCTTAATAAATAAATATGTTCCACTTATTTAATTAGTTATTTAATATGCTATACATGCTTGTGATGTATCTCATTTGAAAGCTAAGATCGTCTAGTTTCTGGAGAAACATTAGTAAAACGATTGTAAAATGTATATAACTTTGAACATTTTCAAAGTATTTTTTTTTCTTGCATAAAAAAGAAATATTTAATGTTTCTATATCTTGAATATAATTTATTGCTGACCTTCTCAACTCACTACATTTGTTGTTCATGTTTTGGAGAACAACTATGTAAAATTTCAAACAGTGATCCTTTTTGTATTTAAAAGGGAGTATTTGACACAGATTATCCAAATAAGGACCAAAAGTTCTTATCTAGAGTATTTGAATTTTATGAAGAATTTAGAACCATAAAAGAACACATCGCTATATGAGAGCTCTACACACATTTTTATTTCAACACGTTTTTAAAAAATATTTCAAAATTTCAGCTTTCAGAATTTGGACAATGAATTTTCTGTGCGTAATTGTTTGTCCTCTCATTCCTTACACCCATAAAGAAGCTGTGTTGGGCAAAATCTAATATGTTTTATATTACAAGTTACCTTTGTGTTTCGAAAGTAAAATGTTCATTTTCAATTATTATATCAATATATATTTCAATTATTTATTTTTCTTGTAAAGTAACCAATTACTTATTAGCTTTTAGTAACTCATTTTTAATTTCTTAAAAATATATACATGTATATAAATATGGGCATCAAGGGGTTAAATGAACCATGGAAAACAAAAGTATTGCATCATTAGACATATGTTTTTACCTTGTTACTAATAAGAACAGGGATTTTTCTGATGAGCTTTTTAGATGCTGACAACTCAGGCATAGAAAGACGAAGCGCATCCTCCACGACATACTTTGCCATCAGCCTTCTCACTTCTCCTGGGTCGAACATCTTTACCTCTGGTGTGGAGAAATCCATCTTTGGTTTTGTAGATTTACTTGCACCATCATCTTCTGACTTGTTGCTGGTAAGAGTTAATTTAGCCTATAGCTTAAGAATGCTGTGCACTCTCTCCAGGTGTTTTTTTAGGTTACCTGTACTATTGTTATCTGTAGACATTTGTTCTCTTTATTTAAGTCACTCGCTGTGGGTGGTTCAGCTCAGATAGTAATGCATTATCCACCTTAGTAACTGTAATACTATATAAAAAATGTGTTTGTAAGCCATTATAGTACTGTCCTACTGCCAAATCTAGTATCTTACAGTGATGCATTACTTGTGTAACTTGTGTCATGTGTTGTTTATTTAACCCTTAACCCCCAACACTGTAAATGAACACAATCTTTTCAGCCCACTATACACCTCCAACGCTTCATTGCAAAGCTTATTTTAATAAGACTGATGCTCTGTTCTGAATTGAACTAGCTGCTTGAATTGGAGGGTGTTAAGAGGTTCCAGTTTGTGGAGGCCTTGGCTGGTTGAAGGTGGACGAGTTGTTGGAGGGCGGACAGGTAAGTTTATGGTAGCACAGAGGAGCAGCGGAGCAGACTGTCAACTGAAGACCTTGATGAGATTGGAGCTCAGAAGAGTTGAGTTGTGGAACTTTCGGCGTCTCGAGAGGTTTTCCCAAAGGATCTGAAGGTTTCCTGCCGAAGATTCACAAGAAACAAAATAGGTAAGAGCACGAATTCACTGGTAAAGCTCACACATAAACTCAGCAAAGCTCAGAGGGGCTAGGTTACCCAAAACAGGCAAACACTCTGGCGAAGAGGTGAAGACAGTTACCTGCTCATATACTCCTCTGAGGTGATGATGATTCATTGCAGGTGTGGATGGTTGATTTGTGTTGGCTAGCCCTCCAACTCAGAGTAACCAGGTGGCACCAATTGGTGGACGAACAGTGGAACTGAAAAGGAAAACAAACTGACCCCACAAACTGGAACCCAATAATCATGATTTTATTTCATGGGAAACAACTGGATATTACTTTTCTGTGGAGTGTTACGGAAAAAATTTGTAAACTTGTTAGGATAAAATGTGTTTTGGAATGCCAGAAGACCAAAACAAAGCAATTAGTCAAAATTATGAATTGTAATTTAATGACAGATTATTATTTTTTGGGATTTGTGGAGGTCAGGTCATCTGGTGCAGCACCCTATCAATCTCCTTCTTGGTCAAATAGCCCTTACACAGCCTGGAGGTGTGTTTGGGGTCCTTGTCCTGTTGAAAAATAAATCATGGTCCAACTAAATGCAAACCAGATGGAATAGAATTCTGCTGCAAGATGCTGTGGTAGCCATGCTGGTTCAGTACTTTATGCCTTCAATGTTAAATAAATCCCCAACAGTTTCACCAGCAAAGCACCCCCACACCATCACACCTTCTCCTCTATGATTCATGGTGGGAACCAGGCATTTAGAGTCCATCAGTTCATCTTTTCACAAAGACACGATGGTTGAAACCAAAGATCTCAAATTTGGACTCATCAGACCAAAGCAAAGATTTCCACTCGTCTAATGTCCATTCCTTGTGTTCTTTAGCCCAAGCAAGTCTCTTCTGATTGTTTCCTGTCCTTGCAGTGGTTTCCTATAAGCTATTTTACCATGCAGGCCTGATTCACACAGTCTCCTCTTAACAGCTGTTCTAGAGATGTGTGTGCTGCTAGAACTCTGTGTGGCATTGACCTGGTCTCTAATCTGAGCTGCTGTTAACCTGTGATTTCTGAGGCTGGTGACTCGGATGAACCTATCCTCCGCAACAGAGGTGACTCTTGGACTTCCTTTCCTGGGGCGGTCCTCATGTGAGCCAGTTTCTTTGTAATGCTTGAAGGGTTTTTGGGACTGCACTTGTAGACACTTTCAAAGTTGTTGTGCCATTTAACTTAGATTATGAATATATTAAATAACTAGAACTGGAAGTTAGTTAATTAATAGGACATTCAAATCAAGGGTAAAGCTAGTTATTCATTATCAGCTAAATGATTATAACTGTAATTTGATTACTGACCAGGGTTTTAGCCCCTTTCCTAAAAGGGTTAGAATCAATGAAAAAAAAATTGAAAAAGTAGTTACCATAGCGGTATACAGAACATTATCAACAAATACAGGTAATTAAGACATCTCCCAGCAGCTGCAATTTTTCTGCAAGGCAATGCGAAAAAAAAAAAAAAAGCCTACACAGAATGTAATCTTGGCCAAACGACTTAAGGAACAAAGTACAACAAAATGGGACAAAAAGTTAAAGGAAACTGTTCTGCCATCACAGCGACATATTAAACTTAGCCTAAGTGGAAGTAGGCAACCGCTATCGTATATCTCAAGGGAAATTCAGAACAACAAAGGCCAATGAAATTCTGTCATTTTAACGTTGTTCACCACAAAGCAAACATAGTGCATTTTTAATATCTAATTATGGCCCCAGCCTGTATAGGAGTCCGGTCATGATTTAAATCCGGCGACAATGAGACCGGCCATTGTTAGAGTCCCGGCCGCTAATGGAATACAGACCAATATTAGTGGATTTACAGTAATAATATAATTTTGTCCTTGTGGTTTATGTAAAAGGATTTTGGAGCTAATAGAGTCATG